CACCTCAGCGCGGGTCATTAACCCTATATTAATACAGGAGAGGAAAATTGTGGGCGGTGCCATGCAAGTGAGTGAGAAGATTGCGGCGTTGCTAGGCGACAGAGTTGTTCTGTCTAGTCCTGTTTTGAGGATAGACCAGGAGGATACAGTTGCCATAGTAACCACCCACAGCGGGCAACAGTACAGGGTAGGTCATTTTGTGTCACATATCTTAGTACAATACAAATACTTGTTTCTTTTTGGCGACGTCTCAGGGGCGGGGGCACTATTACAGTGTTTTACAATTTCAAAATAAACGTATCTGATCTATTATTAATAACCGTCCGCCTATGCGTGGTCTTTAGTTGGAGTAGAAAAAGTCGTTTTTGTTATGTGTATGATGACAAATCTTGGTTAAGTTTCTGAAAAATGTAACAAAATCATGTAATATTGTTTAAGCAACATTTGTTTAAAGGAGTACTAACCTCCAGAAGGAGGTGCTATATTTCGACAGGGATTTATTTTTGGAATTGAAAAATGCATATTATTTTACAGTATACAATTAAATGCACATTTTGCGCGCAAGTCTTAAAACGCATCGAATCCAGGACAAACTCTTCAAATACCCTCAAAACTATCCCAGAATACACCACGCTACCCCATTGGTGTCTATGTTTTAAACAAAAAGTTACGTTACAGACCTCATTTCGGGGGCGATAAGAAAAATTCGTACCGTTTTGTGTTCTTTGGTATCTTACCAACCATTGCCCTTCTTGGTGTCCTTATCGCCCCTCATTTATGCAGAAAATATTGACGATGAAAAAAACGGCATAATCTAGTTATCCTTTCCATAAGTGGCGTAATCTAATTATCTGTTCAAGTGATACTTATATGCAAATAAGTTGAGAAAATCAAAACACGCAGGATGAAACTGGCTCCCACTGTATTCGACATCCTGATATTATAATATCCAAATAATATCCAAGCCACAGGTCAAGCAAAGTAAAGCAAGTAATTTCTCAATAATCAGCTTGTTAGTGTGCTTGTCTCCTACCATTTTCACCGAAAAATGTTTATGTTGACCTGAAGTGTATGAGTATTGCGTAAGCCAGAATTCCCGGATGTATCAATTGTGGTTCAGCATGGGGGAAAATGATATTAATATCACTTTACAAACATGCTTCGCTCAACTCGTACAAGCGAAATTATGTAAAAAGTCGGCTAGTTATGTATTCATTGCAGCATGATGTATCGGAAAATAGCACTTCCTTCTGGAGGTTAGTACTCCTTTAATGCCTGACATTCAGGTAGCGGATATCCCTTTAATGTATAAAAGTATGTAACGATTTCCTGAATGATCAGAGCGGTTTGGCTAACATAGCTTTACCTCTTTAACGTTTTTCAGGCCAAATATGTCATCAGTTCTGTGCCACTGCCCGTTCTGCACAGAATTCTATTTGAGCCTCCTCTTCCAGCTATGAAATTACAGGTGATTTGTTTATCTTCTTTGTTTATTCATGTATTTTATTTATATGATCCTCATTCTCTTTTTTATGTAAACCATGATGATCTTCTCTTGCTGTAATTTATTATGATATTATGATCTATTGTTCAAAAATCATAGGAAAATGTTTTCTAAAACGTTGCATCCTGGTGAGCCAAATAAAAAAAAAAACCAAAATGTTGAAAACATGTTGTTTTTGTTCCGATGTAGTTGGTGCAGAGGATGACGATGGGATCTATCATCAAAACCAACACATACTACCGGACGGCATTTTGGAAGGAGAAAGGTCAGCATGATATTCCCCAAAACTCTTTTTGTATATCTTTAACCCTGTCACACACTCGGGACATTTCTCCTACCACCAACTAACCAAGGATGGAGCAGTCTGACTTATCATTTCTACCCTTATCCTTACACGTGCTGTAGTGGAAACGTGGGTCAGGTTCAAAAGGGTTTACCTGGCTTTTTTTCAACAGTACTGCAGCGTGATTTTCATGCATTTTTGATTGTATTGTTTTAGTATTATCTCTAAAATTTGTGTCACATTTAACCCGCAAACATTGTTGTCCTACGTCCAAACAATAGCCGACCACCGGGCAAACATGGCTAAACCTCCTGTCCACGACCGTATGTTTTAAACATATTGAAACTGTCGACTGTGACTCAGCCGAACAGTAGCCGACCTCACCGAACACCAGCCGACCACATTCGACCTTGTGTCGGGCCTACCCTTTAATAATTGAATTGCCTTTGTGCATCACAGGCTTTTCCGGAGAAGCACAATCTGACATAGGACCGGTCAGTTACTGTGTAGACGACACCAAACCAGACGGCAGCCATCCTGCAATCACGGGGTTCATCCTAGCCGGACATGCCAGAGATGTATGTGAGATGTCCCCCGAAGAAAGGTACTTGTTTAGTTACTTAATATGTTTACCTTCGTAGAA